CCAACTAGTTTAACCCATATTATCATGTGAAAATAAGTACTGGAATAAACATATGGTAGTGGCTATCACCGGTGTAAGAGTAAGGAAACTACGAGAAAATTTACATATACATCACATTTTATGAGCTTACATGTAAGTTTCAGATCTTTGATCAGTTGTCTTGTAAATAAAAATCAAGTTCAAAGTTTGCAAGCCGAGAATCGTTACCTAAAATCTTACCTATTCCAAGAACCATTATTTACTTTATCAAGAAAATCCTACCTCACTCTCCAGCTGTTTATTCTCGAGATTTGCAACAGGCATGGCAATGCCTTCATCGAAGTTCAACTCGCTCACAATGTCTTCCATTTTGAATGCGAAAAAGCCTTCAAGATATCACGAATGAATCTGTAACAAAACACTACACTATCCTATATGCCCGTTAATATTTCCGTAGAGGACTAAAATTATGTTTTTGTTAGTTCTGCAAGTCTTCCCACAATCTTCTTCAGAGGAAAATTTATGAGCTCTGCTCCATCAAAGTTGTTGTGGAAACGGTGAAAACAASCRGCGCCAGCGATGTAAAGAACCACTTTCAGCGGATGCACTAAATTGCAGGTCCCGGATGTTAGATCCCAGTGTCTCGTTGAGCGGAAGCCTGACGACACGTGAAGGAACTTTCAGGCGAAAAGCCAACCGAAATATCTTGGGAAAATGAGAAGGAAAAGAAAGGAAAGAAAGCCTCCAGCTAAATCAAATCAGGGCCAGGGAAAACCAGCGGACCGGAGCAATAAACGTATTGTCTTTGTTGATGAAAGTGCCATTGAGGTTCAAGTAAAAACGGATAAATCAAATGGCGAAGAAGAAACTATTGTAAAGGACGACAATGAGAAAGTTATTGCTGTGATAGATAAGAGCCCGGGTCAGTGTAAACCCAGCGAGGGGAGCACTACAGGGGCTAATGATGAGGACGAAGATATCCCAGAGGACATTTCTTGGAAGTCTAGCAAAGAAACTGCAATTCGAGAACGGACGCTTGAGAAAGAGATCGTTCTTGATGCTAAACGAAAAGAAAAACAATCTAGAATAGAAAGAAATGAACGATTACTGGAGCAGAAGGAAAGGAAACGAGCGAGAGAATACTCTAGACTACCAATGGATGTTCTCCAGCAAGTTGCTAAGCGACAAAAGTCTCAGACAAATGAAGACTTGGTACCACAATCAGTTGATCAGGATACTGGAAATCACATGACCTTTGACAGTTCAAGTGAGGGTGAAAAAGATGATCAAGAAGAAGAGGTCCCAAAAGTAAATGAAGAAATACCAGAAATTAAAGTTCTTGTGTTACCGCAGGAAGTGAAGAAGCCAAAGAGAATTCAACAATCTGCAAGTTTGTTTTTGAAAGAACAGTTATTTGGGGGTAGAATTCAGCGAATTTCACCATCAATGGACTCTGATCACACTAGGAAATATAAAACAATAGCTCCTGCCCTTAAATTTTCCAAAAAGTTGCGATAGTTTAATGATCTCAAAAGTGTTAAAAGTAATAGGTTAAAGCTACTCCAAAACTGTATGTTTTATGAAAGATTATGTTGTATAATAATATTATTGTCGCTAAATCACAGGGATTGCATTAATTTGCAAAAGATTTTTATAGAATAACTGAGGACAAAACGTGAACCAATTTTTGATAGAGTTTGTGCAGGGAGCAAACTGTATTATGTTCATGCTCCATTTCAGTAGAGGAAGAAAATGAAATACATTTGTTTACATATAAGTTATGTGTGTATCCAGCTTTAATTTTAAAGC